GGGGGCGGCCAGCCCCAATTTCCATTCCCAGGTTGGGCCCCGAACGATCAGGGTTCGGGCCTGCCAGGGGCCCCATATTAGTCCTGAGCTGGTCCTGCAGGGCTTGGTGGGGCGCTGACACCTGGGCCTTCTTGCTGGCCATCTGGCACTTAAACTCGTGGCCGATGCAATCCACCATCGACATTGGCTGATGCATCCACCATCGACTGGCTAACGACGAGGCTGAAACTGCGGCCGTGGCACTGGGGCAACATATTATCAATGAACGTCGCGAGCCTACTGCGACTATGGGCCTGCGTTCATATGTCCAATGGGGGCGAGCACATGCATCTGCACAAGGTGCGTGGCCCCAATGCTGCCAGCAGCAATGCCCTCCAAGGTTTACCGCCGCTGACCGCACAATCTTGCAATGAAACGATGCGTTCGCTGGCATGCTGGGATAGAATGATACAAAATAAACAACAACGTGGAAAACCTGACTCACCAGCGCGATGCGCAAGACAAGGCCGATCAACATGTACATAATGGTTAGATAGCTCGTAAGGGACCAGGGCGCGACATTGTTGATCTTTGGTAGAGCCGTTGAACTCGCATCCCAAGGATTGCTTGTAGATCAAATCGACATTAGAGTGGCCCGCCTGCCCCTGGCGCAGGCGATTGGCGACCTGCTCAAGCAACTCGTCTTGCACATGCAGCGCCAGCGTCTGATTCAGAACGCCGGCCTGGAATTCAGTAAGAGGCAACCCTGCGTCTACTCGGATATCCTGAAGCCCCTCCTTGAGGGGCGCGGTGGATCATGAAACGGGGCAATCCTCCAGGCTGCCCAGGGCGCCCTGAAACTCAAACAACTTCCAGTCCTGAATACAGCACCTAAATTCCTTCTCTATTACACAACCATCTTAACGGGCCCGCAAACGTCGCCCCGTTGGCTCTGATACGAGCCACTTTGGCCCCCGCGGGGGCCTCAATCACCTGGGGGGGCTGATCCCTGGGGAACTTACTGGGTTTAATGGGCGTGTTGGTCCTTCTACTGATTGTAGCTTCCAAGTACTGGGCCAGGGTGTAGTACACGTGATCCAGGATCGACGTCGACTGCTGATCGGTGAGCGGCCGTTGGGCATCATCGACCAATTGCAAGGCATAATCCACGTTCGCGGCAGTCTGGTGCCATCTCACTTCTGGCAATCGCGGGCCCACTGGGCTGTGAGTGGGCAGCTTCTGGGGCCAATGCAGCGAGGGGATATTAAAGGTAACTGAATGCGCTAAGTCATCCTGAAGTTGGCCATTGGTGGCCACGCGGTTCAAATTTGCCTTGGCCTCAGAGAGACCCGCAGCGGCATGAAAATACGTAGAACACAGAGCGAATTTTGGGGACCCTGGGAGCACAAGGGTCGCTCCAGACAAACGAGCGGGCACACAATCCGAGGGAGACAGCAGAGGTTGAACCCCCAGGTACAAACCCCCCCGAAAACAAATAAAATACTTGGCTCCTGAAACCAGCTCATTGATGGGGTTCACCGCAGCAGGGGTTGTGTAGGCAAGCCACCCGTGAGGCGCGCACCATTGTATCCGCTGTACAATGCTATCGCCTTCGGCTAACTTACACTCCTGGGCGCAAACGATGGTGACTTCTCTGGCAAACGATGGTGACTTCTCCTGGGGCATGCTGACCTGGGATGGGCATGGCTTCATCAGGCCAATCAGCACGTTCACCAACTGCGGGAAAGTCGTCAGGCTCCTGCGCTGGCTGGGACCCCTTGCCCTTGCTAGCACCTTTCGCCTGTGACTCCACAAACATGGTGTGCTGGTGATGCATGTTGTCGAACAGCTACGCCAGCTCCGAAACTTTAGCTTGTAGTTCTGGTGGGGCCTCCCCGCCCTCAGGCATGCGCGCTGCCAGCATGCCTTGGAGAGTGGTGAGTAAATCCTCATCTTTGGATGCCTCGTGCGCTGCCGCCTGTGCGGCCATGTTGTGCTGAGACTCCAATGACTGCACTTATTGGGTGTTGGTCTCGATCTCCGCGACCAGCTTGCCGTGGTGTTCGCTCGCCTCGACGATGGTGTAGACAAGCTCCGTCGCTTCCTTCTTCTGGGCCATGAGCTTCTGGCGCGCGACCTGCAACTGATCTGGCAGTGACTGCGCCTGCTGCTCCAGGCTCTTGGCGGACAGGGCCCGCGCTTTGGCATGCTTGACCTTGCCGATCGCCGACTTGTGCTCCTCTCCGTCTGGTTTCCACTTCTTCCAGAAAGTGACCTGCGCTTGGGCCAGGGCCACTGGATCTTCACTGGGGGTGTCGTCCTCCGCGAAGGTGACCTTGCGACCTCCTCCGCGGCCCAGGCCAGGGGGGGGCTCAGGCCCGCGGGAGCCGTGTCTCCAGCGTCCTGGCTTGGGCGGTGGCTCATGAACGTCTGGCCGAATGTCCAGAGCTCCACCACCTCCCCCTGCTGGGCGGTCTGCATGCGAAACTGACTCCGAACGCTGCTTGAAACGGTTGCCACACTGAATGCAGTGGCGAGCATTAGCAGAGCACCGAGCCCACCCTTTGCAGCCGCGCTTCGAGCAAACGACATACTTCCTCTGGGCCGTCGCCATCTCCAGACTCCCTTGTGCGGCAACACGCGCAGGAAATGGGCCCAACAGGTTGTACGAGTGCGGGACGTGGCTGTGCCGCTGCCTGGAGCGGACCAGGCTGGCACTGGGCAAAGCAAAAGGCTTGAGCCCGAACACCCAGGGCCTTCCCTGGGTGGCAATGCTGAGTCGTGCACCTCCCGCGGTGTGCTCAGGACTTGAGCCAGGGGGGAGGAGGAGGAGGATGAGAAGAAGGAGGAGGAGGAGGAGGAGGAGGAGGAGGAGGAGGATCGGCGCCTGGGCCTCCCCTCCCTGGCGCGCGGAGCGCGCCAAGGGTGGCGCCGGAGGCGCTGGGCCCCGACTGGCGGCGCCGATGGCGCCGCTCCCGGCGCGCCCTGCGCCAGGGAGGGGGTGCCCAGCGCTGCTCCAAGAAATCCGCGCGGGGCGCCAGAAGTTTATGCGTACGGCGTTTTTGTTGTTAGTTTCTCATTACTCCGATTCTACGTATGTTTCTTCTTACTATTCGTATACTTATTTTTCTTTTTCTTACGATGGTTTGTTTCCTCCTTCTTTTTGTTTCTTATTATTCCTCTTCTTCTTCTTCGTCTTCTTCTTCTTCTTCTTCTAGGTGGATGCCGCTGCTCTCTCCCTGGGAGCGCTCTGACCAGAACACGACGGGAAGCTTCCCGGCACCGCCTGCACTGCGGCCAACGCCGCGATGCTTACGGCGCCTGTCTTGAGCAGGGACCGACGGTCCCGGCACTCCTATAGTCCTACCACGGGGTGTTCTCAGAACCCACAAATGTTCCAAACACAAAAAAACCATGTTCTTAGAAACATAAGCCCTATGTGCTTAACAATAAGACAGTCCTAGTCAGAAATATCCTAAGAACATCTCGTGGGAAAACCACAAACACAAATTCTTAGAACACTCTCTGGTGGGGCTATAGGCGAGCCGGGACGCTTCGCCACTGCTTGATTGTCGTTTTCCTCGCTTGTCTCGGGAGCAGCCTAGAGGGGGGTGTCCAAGAGGGGGGGGTGCAACTCATGACCGGCGGCACGTGCGCGGCCCAGCGGGGGGGCCAGGGACGTGATGAAATAAAAGAAGAGGCGCCATGAAATCTGGGGAAAAATATCATGCCCCCCGCCATATCCACCCCTCCCTGGTCATCCACCCACCCTTTTCCGCCCCCGCTTGTCTGCGGCCTCGGCCGGCGCGGCTGCCTCGGGCGCCGGCGCGGCCTCCCCGGGTCGGGCGAAAGGGGGGGAGGGATAGCAAAGGGGGGGTTTGAGAACCAGCTCGCGTATAGCCGATTTCCCCGGCGCCTCCCGGCGCCGGGAGGCGCCCATGCATCGAGGAAGGGGCCCCTCGGTGAGGCCGAAACCCGCTGCATGCAGCAGATTTCGTAACCCCCCCTTTCCCAATCCCCCCCTTTCGCCCGGCCCGACCTCCCCCGGCGGCGCGGAGGCCCCGCCGGCGGCCGGCGCGCCCTCTTCGGGCGGCGGCGGCGCCGCCTCCGCGGGCAGGCCCTCTCCATGCCCCCTCCCTCGGAAACTGGGCGAGGGCTACTACGGTCAAAAACCATGCTTCATTGTCGTTTTCCTCGCTTGCCCGCGGCCTCGGCCGGCGCGGCTGCCTCGGGCGCCGGCGCGGCCTCCCCGGGCGGCGCGGAGGCCCCGCCGCCAGGCGCAGCGGCCGGCGCGCCCGCCTCGGCGGCGGCGGCGCCGCCGCGGGCGGCGCGGCGGCGGCCGGGGCGGGCGCGGGCGCCGGGCGGCCCCGGGGCGGGCTGTGCTGGCCGCGGCCGCCGTAGAGCCTGCGCCGGGGCTCGAGCAAGGCAGTGTGTGCTCCTCCTCCACCCTCCTCCCCCCTCCTCCTCCCTCCTCCTCCTCCTCCCTCCTCCCTCCCTCCTTCTCCTCCTCCTCCTCCTCCTCCTCTCCTCCCTCCTCCTCCTCCTCCTCCCTCCTCCTCCCTCCTCCTCCTCCTCCCTCCTCCTCCTCCTCCTCCTCCTCCTCCTCCTCCTCCTTCTCCTCCTCCTCCTCGTTCTCGTGGGGCGAAGGCAAGGGGAGAGCGGCCCACGAGAGCGCCAGAGCACCGAGAGCTCGCGGTCGGCGTTTTCTTATGCGGCGCTCCGATTTTGGGCCGACAGGGGGGGGGGGCTGGCGCCGGAGCTCTGCTGAGTGCGGCTTCATGCAGCAGTGGGTTCTATGGGGGCGACGCCAACTGCTTGAAACAGGCCCCAAAAACAGCCAAGAGCTACTCCAGAGGTGGGGGAGGGGGGGTGCGAGGGCCCGCGCCGATCGGCAAAACAATGAATCAGGAAACGCTCACGAAATAAGCAGCGTTTTCCGCTCTCGTCTCGTTTCGCATGAGCGAGGGCAAGAGGAAGAGCGGCCCACGAGATCGCCAGGACACCGCTTGGCTCCCGCCCTGGCCTGTACTTGAGGTCCTGCGGCGACTGCTTCTTCTCCTGGGGCAGGAAGAGCTGCTTGACACACCAGCTCCCGGAGGTCCGCGCGGCTTTCTTGGATCGGGGCTGGGCTCCCCCCTCCCTGGCGCGCGGAGCGCCCCGGGGGCGGCGCCGGCGAGAGGCGCCGCCAGGGGGGGCCCCGCGCAGATCCACGGAATCTGGGCGGAGCTCCGAAGGCTTCTGCTTACCCATCGGCCGGGAGAAGCAGGTAGAAACATGAGGTAGGAAGGCGTTGAAAGTAGATTGGGTGCCCGCCCGCCCCCTGAAGAGGACGGCAAAGGTGAAGCCCCTCGAACATTGAAGTATGAGGGCGCCTAGATTAAATCGAAATCTGGGAATCCACAAAAAATCCTACTTTCAACGACCGATGGGTATGGTGCCTGCTTTCGTAATTGTTCTGCCTCCTGCGGCGACGGGGGCGCCGCGGCGGGCTCCGTGCCGCCCCACACCTGGGGGCTGCGGAGGCAGCGGCAGTGGCCCGCCGCTGGGGGGAGCACGTCAGCGTGCCACTCTGTCGGAGAAGCGTTCGGTCCGGCATGTCCTCCGACAGGCGGACTTCGACAGGAAGCTAAAACATGGTAAACACACATGCTTCGACATCAAAAGTAAATGGGAAAATCCTCCTCGTATCATTTGTTTGTAATGGAAAAATCCTCCTCGTATCATTTGTTTGGCTGCTTGTCGTTCTTCCTCCTGTGGAAGGCCACGCCCGCCCTCAAACGGCCGACGGGCGCCCCACGGCGGCCTTCCAGGACTGGCGCTGCTTCTTGAGCAGGGGCCGACCGTCCCCGCGTTCCTGCAGTCCTACACCCTGCGAAATGCTTAAGAAATCATGGGATAAGAAATTCATAGTCTCAGAACTGGAATAAAAACCCAACATGTCTATTCAAATCTTAGGATTTACATCGAAACATTAAGAATAATCGAGACTCTGGCCGAAAAATCAAGTCTTCTTAAGCATCGCCTCAGGTGTACTGCGGGATGCTCTTAGGACCCAAACATGTTCCAATAACAAAGACGAGGCCCTTAGAACAGAAGCCCCGTGCGATAAGACAAGACAGGCTCCGCCAGAAATGCTCCAGGAGCTTCTCGTGGAAACCGCACAAGGCTCTTCGAAAACCTTGTTTGGGGGGTCAATTGGCGAGCCAGGACGCTTCGCCACTGCTTGAGCTCTCCCCCTTCGGGGGCGGCAAAGAGGGGGGTGTCCAAGAGGGGGGGGTGCAAATCATGAACGGCGGCATGTGCGCGGCCCCGCGGGGGGGCCAGGGACGTAATGAAATAAGAAGAGGCGCCACGAAATCTGGGGAGATATCATGACCTACGCCATGATACCCCCCCCCCCCTAGTCATCACCCCCCTCTTTCCCGCCCCCGAGCCAGAAATGCTCCAAGAACTTCTCGTGGAATCCGCACAAGGTTCTTCGAAAACATTGCTTGGTGGGGCTATAGGCGAGCCAGGAGGCTTCGCCACTGCTCGGGCCCCCCCTCCCTCCCGGGGGGCACACCTCCGCGCGGTCCGGCGCCGGGACCCCCAGGAGCAGGGCCCGGAGGTCCTCCAGGCAGACCTGCTTCTTGGAGGCGCGCGGGAGGAGGAGCCGAAAGAGCTTCGCCGGCTTCCTGCAGCGCGCGCGCTCGTTTTTGCTCCTCGTCGGCGGCGAGAAGGGCTCGTTTTTGTGTTTCGCGTCGGCGGCGGAAGGGCTCGCTTTTGTGTCTCGTCGGCGGCGAAAAAGCGGGGGGGGGGGAACCGAGGAGGAGGAGGAGGCCTTTTTTCAGAAGGCGGCGGGGCTGCTCTGAAGAGGGGGGGGGGGACCGAGGAGGAGGAGGCCTTTTTTTGTCAGAAGGCGGCGGGGCTTCTCAGGAGGCCTCGCGCCTCCTGAGGAGTCTGCGTTCTGTCTTCGGGGGAGGCTGGGGCAACTTCCCAGAAGGCCGGGAGACTTCCGAACCTGCTGAGAAGGCCCGCCCCTCCTCACTTCCCCCCTCGCTCGCCGCCGAACTCCGCGTAATGAGGCCTTCGCCCGGCCCGCGCGCCCCCTCCCCCCCACCTGGTGCCGTAGTAGAATGAACGCGACGCCCGGCGCCGGCGGGGTCCTGGAAGGACAGCTCGTGATCAGCAAATCCGTGGGGGGCGTTTAGAGAAATCCCTGCTCGGGCGAATCGCGGGGCGGCGCCCTCTAGACTGAAAATCAACGGCGCGGCGCCAGTGATTAGCGCCGACGCCTGGCCGCCAACGAGAGGCAAGGGGGGGCGAGGCAAGGGCGAGCCAGGGCGCCCCTCAGTCTGTCGTTCCGATGGTGCAGAACCTTACGTCCTCAGGAAACAGGGATGGACAGACCTCCCTTTAGCAAAAGGTGGTTTAGTGAAAACGCCCTCGGGCCCAAACCTGGCGGGCGCAAGCCTGGAAAATGACGGCCGCGGCGCCCTCTCGAGAACCGAAAACGGACAATTCACTAATCGACGTGACAGGGTGGGGATTCTGTCCATCCCCAGATACCACAGGATGCAGCGAGACTGGGCCAAACCAGGCCGGTTTTCGCTCAGGGACAGGAGAGCCCAGAATCGAATCGGTAAGTCGGATCGGCGATCGAAACTAATCGGACCGGTAGGAATCGGCAGCCGAGTCGGGAGAAGTTGAGTCGGCGGGAATCGGCAGGCCATTCCGCCTCCATTGGGAAATCCCCCCGAAACAACAGAGGACCCCCCCCACCCACCCACACCCACACCCACACCCACACCCACACCCACACCCACACCCACACCCACACACACACACACACAGCAACAACAACAACCACAACAAACAAAAAAACTGCGGCTGGCCTTCCCTCGCGCTCTCTCGCGCCTCTGGGCGGGGGGGGGCGCACGAGAGGCCACCCGTCGCCCCCCCGGCGACGGGACTCGCCTCGAGGTTTTTTGGTCGGAACCCTCCCAAGGGAGAGGCCTAACGAGCAGCGGCATCGGCCTAGAATAATGGTAATAATCCGCCGGCCCCCTTTCGGGAGCGGCAAAGAGGGGGGTGTCCAAGAGGGGGGGGTGCAAATCATGACGGGCGGCATGTGCGCGGCCCAGCGGGGGGGCCTGGGACGTAATAAAACAAGAAGAGGCGCCATGAGATCTGAGGAAAAATCATGGCACGCGCCATGATATCCACCCCCCCCCCTAGTCATCACCCCCCTCTTTTCCGCTCCCGACCCTTGTGGGGCCACCAGGCTGTAGGAGCGGGATTCGCAGTTTCCTGTACCAGTTGTAGCTTGTAGTTTCCAGTGTTACAGTTCTGCTTCTGGCTGGTGACTGTAACTAGTTGATGGACCGCGCGAGGGGGGGGAGGCCCAAACCAGATATTTAGAACCTCCTGGGCGCGTTGTCTGAATTGCTGGGGGGGCTCGAAATCGACACCCCTCACACAGATCGGCGGGGTCAGGGTCCAAAAACACAAGGGATTTGCCACATTTCTGAAATTCGGTGCCACCCCTCACGCAGATCCGCGGGGTCAGGGTCCAAAAACACATGGGATTTGCCACATTTCTGAAATTCGGTGCCACCCCTCACGCAGATCCGCGGGGTCAGGGTCCAAAAACACATGGGATTTGCCACATTTCTGAAATTCGGTGCCACCCCTCACGCAGATCCGCGGGGTCAGGGTCCAAAAACACAGGGGATTTGCCACATTTCTGAAATTCGGTGCCACCCCTCACGCAGATCCGCGGGGTCAGGGTCCAAAAACACATGGGATTTGCCACATTTCTGAAATTCGGTGCCACCCCTCACGCAGATCCGCGGGGTCAGGGTCCAAAAACACAGGGGATTTGCCACATTTCTGAAATTCGGCGCCATTACGCAGATCCGAGAAACACAGGGGATTTGCAACATTTCTGAAAGTCGGTGCCACCCTTCACGCACATCCATCGCAAGGCGTGGTAACCCAAACTGCGAGAACTCCCTCGGCCCTTTAATCGCAAGGTGTGGTAACCAAGCCCGTAAACCATACACGTCTTACCAATCGCCAGGTGTGGTAACCCCTCTTGTGATCAGTTGGTTTTGCTGATTGCGAATCGGCTTCGCATGAAGTTTTGATACTGCTTCACGACAGCGCCAAGGCCTCATGACTTAGCTCTTCCATGGCCCATTCTCCGAGAGAGGGGGCTGGCGGCAGGGGGCGATGCCCTTACGGATAAGAAACAGCAGTGACAATACTAAAGAAGAAACAATGATAACAATAATAATACGAATCATGAAACTGATACTGACAATAATAATAACAACAAGGATGTTCATAGTAAAGAGATAGAACCATGACCATAAGACAACAAAAATTATGGACAAGAAAAACGAGCAAGAAGCAGGAACAAACCACACGAGCATGAACTGCTGGCGCTCCGCGCGGACTTCTTGGCTCCGCGGCGGACCCCCCTCTCTGGCGCGCGGGGGTCCGCGCGGCTTCCTCGGGTCGGGGCTGGGCCTCCCTCCCTGGCGCGCGGAGCGCGCCAGGGGGCGGCGCCGGAGGCGCCGCCGGGGGGGGGGGCCCCGCGCGGATCTAAGGTAATTACCCCAGACTTCGTAATAAAAGGGAGGGGGTCTGGACCCTCCAAGACAAGCCATTTCAGACCCCCCCCCCCCCGTGGGAGAACCCTCCCAAACATGGCCCTCCAAGACCCCCCCCAGGCCCTCCAGGACAGCCTGGAAGAGACCCCCCCCGAAATGAGACCCCCCTTCCTTTATTGAGAAATCTGGAGTACCCGCGCGGAGCGCCAAAAGTTTTTCATGCGGGGTGGCGATTAATTCAAAATAGAGGAGAGAACGAGTTTTCAAACAAGTGTTCTGCTTTTTCTACCGATTTTCTGACTGGAGGAGAACGATTACAAAAAAAAAGTCAGCCCGCGGCCCGTTTTTTCGAATCGTCATCCCGGACGCCGCCGCGTGAACACGACCCCCGGTCACTTATAAATCGTCATCCTCCATTATGGTGGTATACACCTCTCCCCCACCCACCGCCCCCGGTGACGCCCGCTACGCCGGGAGGGTCAGCAAAAAGCAGGCTCCTGACGGGCCTGCTCAGGTGTCTGCAGGCTTCGACGAAGGCGTCCTCGCTCAGGTACTGGAGCCCAGGCACGTCGAGCAGCTCCCTCCAGGCACGAGTAAGGCAGCTGGATGAGCCTAGCAGTATGTCGGGCGTGTCCCCTACAGGGGAATTTTCGACGACAAATGAAAAATACACCAAAATGCCCCCCCCCCCAAAAAAACATAGTCCAAAAATAGTCCCCAGACTATTTGTTGAGTATGTTTATGCTATTTTTTTATTTTTCGTCGAAAACCCCCCTGTAGGGGGACGCGCCCGACTTAAGCCTAGCAAGCTCTCGCGGAAGGCCCCCAGCAGCTGGTAGGCCTCCTGGTCGATATCTTCGAAGGACACCTTACCTGCTCCGTTGCAGAGCTCGTCCCACATGCCCTTCACGTTCTCGCGCGGCAGGGCGCACTCGTTGACCACTAGGACGAAGGTCCCGAAGCTGGTCTGCCCACTGAGCTTCGGGTCCAGCCCAGCGCGCCAGGCCGCCAGTGTAGAGCCGTAGTGGTTGCGGAGAGCCTTGCGAAGCTTCTCGATGGGGGCCATGCTGTTCTCCAGCAGAGCTCCCGCGCTCTGCGCCCTGCTCCCGAGACTGCCCGCGGTGTGCTCCGGCGACAGGGCGCTGCGCGTGCCGAACTTCCTCAGCCTCCTCTCCTCCTCCGGCGAGGTGACCGGCTTTCGCGGGGAGCTGATGAGCGGGGCATCGCCCCTGGCGCGCTTCCGGCTGCACTCCGGGTCCAGGTCCCAGATGCTCAGGAGCACCCTGCCAGGCATGGGCTGCAGGTTCCTGAACAGCTCGTCGACGTTGCCCTCCCAGCCGAGATGTGCCGCGGCCTCCCGCAGGTTCCCCTTGTCGATGGCCTCGTGCGGGTCCTTGTGGAACCCCCGCGTCCACGCGTTGTCGATCGTGCCGTACTTCTCCGCCAGGGTGGCGAGGAAACTGTTGATCATGTGGTCGGCCGCAGGGTCGATGTCCTTTATGAGGATGTACCCCTTCTTGTCCTTGTCGTACTTCTTGAACAGAGCCTTGACGCAGGATTATTCAGCATCGAATCGTGGTATCGGATCGAATCGCCATTTAAGTGGGATTGGGCTGCATCAGCATGGAGTCGAACTCGAATCGAATCAACTACGCCCACATGCACAACAACGAGATGCACGTATCGGGCCGCCTCGAATCGTCGGAATACAAGGAGCACCTGGATCGAACCGGACCGGGCGGGCCAAAATCGGCATCACATCGGATCGACCTAATCGTAGTGGACCCTGCCTTGAGGTCGCCAGAGTAGCCCACGCGGCGCAGAGCGGCGCACCACTCGTTGAAGGTGAGCTTTCCGTTGTGGTCCGAGTCCAGGCAGAGGCGCCATGCGCCCATCATGGACCCGAAGTTGCGCCTGCACAGCGTCTCGAACTCCTCGACGGAATCTATGACGAAGTCCTTCGTGTTGAATCGACACGCCCTGGCGAACTCGTCCTGCTCGGCCTTGTCCCATGCCCTGCGAATGTTCCAGTAGAAGCCAGACTCCTGGCGCTCGTGGAAGCTCATCTGCAGCGGGCTGCGGCCGTCAGCGTTGGGAGCATCCGACTCGCTGAGCATCCGGAAATCCGCACGGGAGAGGGCCTGGTACGCCTGGGTATCGAAGTCCTTGAGCGTCAGAAAACGACGGGTCGCGTCAGGCTGCATCACACGGAACAGCTTCTTGGCCTTCCCTTGGAATCCAACCTTCTGGCAGGCATCGACAAAGGCCTTCTCGTTGACGCAGCCAGAGCCCATCGTGTCCATCCCCCGGGTCCACGCCAAGAGCATGTTCCCGTACTTGTCCTTCAGCTTGCTCTGCAGATCGGCCAGCTGAGCGTCCGTGTCAGGATCCAGGTCGGAGAACAGGATGTAGTCCCGGTCGCTGGGCTTCAGCTGGTTCCAGAGGCTCTTGACCTCGCCGAAGAAGGCCAGGCGCTTAAGGGCCTTGATGGGCCTGTTTTCCACCACCACCACCACTAAGTTGGAGGGGGGGGAGGAGGAGGAGGAGGAGGAGGAGGAGGACGAGGAGGAGGAGGAGGAGGAGGAGGAGGAGGCTTATGGTGGTGGTGGTGGAAAACAAGCCCATCAGGCCTGGCAGAACTCGCCAAAGGTGAGGCGGCCGTTGCCGTCGAGGTCGAGGGCCTGCCTCCAGGCGCCCAGGAGCGACCCGCACCGGTTGGAGAGCGCAGCCTTGAAGCCCTCGGCCGTGTAGAGGCCCGCCCGCATCCTGGAGATGTCGTCGTCGGCCTTCCTCTGCGCGGCCTTCTCCGCGTCCATGATCTGCTTCCGGAACCTGGAGGCTTCCAAGTCGGGGCCAGGGCATATCGAGTCGGAGGGGGTAGCGCCACGTCACCGACTTGCCGTCGCTCGGACGCCCATCTCCCGTGCACTTGTCGGTTTCGTGCGTGTTCTTGTTTGCTCGATGGTCCAGGATGGTCCTCGATGGTTTTCGCAGAAAAAATGCACACGTCCGAGCGATGCCAAGCCGACGCATCGCCGATGCACGGGAGACGCTGGGACGGCGAAAACACCGGACTCTGGATCGCGCCGCGCCGCCGAGGCGGGCGTCCAAGGACTGCCCCGAGGGCCTGCGCAGAGCTCCGGACCTGGCCTTCCGGTCGCTCTCCTTCTGCGCCTGCGCCTCCTCCGGCGAGTCGTCGTCGAGGTCCTCGAGGAACTCCTTCAGGATATAAAAGGGGGGGCTGGGCGGTGAAAGCCGGCGAGTCGTTCTCGACACGGCAAGGGATCCAGGGGGATGCGGTCGTCTTAGAGCGTGGGTTAGCGCCGCCCTGGGAGGAGGAGGAGGAGGAGGAGGAGGAGGAGGAGGAGGAGGAGGAGGAGGAGGAGGAGGAGGAGGAGAGGGGGGAAGGGCAGATGCGGGATCCTTCCCCCCGCAGTCGGCCCTGGCCCGCGGCTGCCCCCCGCCGCGCGGTGGCGGCACAGCGGGCGGCAGCCGCCGAGAAGAGCCTCTCTTTTTGCCCGCAAGGGGTAACACAAGAAGCCGAACATGGCGCGGGCGAGCATGCCTAAGGGCGCCGCGCGCGCCGACGCGGCCGCGGCGCGCCGCGGGCCGCGGGGCGCTCACGGCGCGGGCGCGCGGGCGGGGCCCCCGCAAGCGGGCGGCACGAGGAGAACTGGCTACGAGGCAAACGTGACGGGCCGCCCGAGGCCCAGGCCGCTGCGAGCTGCGGCACGCAGGGCAGGCTACAGTTATGCGGCTCGGCCTGAGCGCCAGATAGAGGGGCACATCCCTCATGGTGGCTGCCATGACGAATGCCAAGAATGACGGCAGCAAGTGCAGCACCATGTATACGGCGGCAAGTGCTACACCAGATACGACGAAGAGGGAAGAAGTGCTATACCAAAGCACGTGCGGAAACATGAATAAGACGTGCTATACGAGAGCACGCACGGAAAGGGTGCTATGCGAGAGCACCATGCTCGAGTAGATCAACGCCTACAGCACATCGCCGTGGAAGTCCCACTGCAACGACAACAGACCTACGACCAAAACGGCGACCGGTATGGCGACACGGCGACAAGTACGGCGACGACGCCCAGTACGGGGACCAGAACGACCTCTAGGGCCACGACGGCCTCCAGGGCGTCTACATCCCAGGCGAGGAAGGGCGTGACTGGCTTCGGCCAGTCCCACCTCCCTCAGACTTGCGGATGGATCTCCAGACGGCCACAGCCTGAATTTCCAGGGCGCAAAGCAAAGGTACTGCAACCACCATCAGCGCTACCAGGACCGCCCGAAGACCTGGGATGACCACAAGCTGAGCTGCGAGGACCACAGGCACAGCTACGAGAACCACCAGAAGAGCGTCAAGGCCCAACCGCTGACTTGCGAGAGCCACCAGCATTGCTACGATAGCCACGAGCTGAGCTACGAGGACCGCGAGCGGAGCTACGAGAGCATAAAGAAAGGCTACCAGGACCGCCAGCTGAGCCACGCGGCCACGAGGGCCACCCATCTGAGCCACGAGGCCACGAGGGCCACCATCTGAGCTTTGAGGGCAACTGGCAGAGCTAAGAGGGCATCCTGCGGATCTAAGAGGACCACGTCTTGATGTTCGAGGGCCCTCAGCTGAACCTCGAGGGACACCAACAGAGTTACGACGACACGGAAGCGCTAAGAGGGTCACCAGCTCAACTTCAAGGGCCACCAGCTCAACTCCGTGAGCCACGCGCAGAGCCACGAGGACCACAGGCTGAGCTACCAGGATCACGCACAGAGCTACGAGGAGGAGGAGGAGGAGGAGGAGGAGGAGGAGGAGGAGGAGGAGGAGGAGGGAGAGGAGGAGGAGAAGGATTAGGAGGAAGAGGAGGAGGAGGAGGAGGAGGAGGAGGAGGAGGAGGAGGAGGGCAGCACTAGGAACACCACGACTGGCACCCAGAACGTGGAATACTACGACTTGGCGGCTGAGGAGTCCGACTCCGACCTCGTGGACTCCGACGTCAAGAAGAATGTACAGGTGGACGTACCCCTCGACTGCTTCATGCGCCAGGTGCACGAGCACGAGGAGGGCATCTAAGCTCCGCAGCGAGGACCAGCGCAGCTCCGACGACCAGCAGAACTACGAGACTCCCCAGGAGAACTCCGAGGACAACCCACCGAACTACGAGGGCAACAAGAACTTCGAAAGCCACTGGCAGAACTACGAGACCCACCGGCTGAGCTAAGACAGCCACAAGCATAAATTTTACATCCATCAGCAGAGCTAGCAGGAAGATTGCCAGCCCTTCGAGCACCACGAGCTAAACTACGAGGACCACAGGCACAGCTACGAGAGCCACCAGAAGACCTACGAGGACCACAAGCTCAACCACGAGGACCACAAGTAGGGCTGCGGCGACCACCAGCTCAGCCACGACGGCTGCAAGCTCAGCTGGGAGGGCCACAAGCAGGGCAACGATGGCCACCAAGTGTACAACGAAGGCCACCAGCTGAGCTACGAGAACCACGAGCAGAGTTACGAATAACACAAGCTCAACCACCGGAGGCACCACAAGCAGACCTACTAAAGCCACCGACAGCGCGACCAGAGCCAACAACGGAACTTCGAGGACCACAGGCTGAGCCACGATGACGAGCTGTACTGCAAGGGCGACATTCAGACCTACGAGACCCACCAGCACAGATGCAAGGGCGGACTGCCGAGCTACAAGAGCCACAACGTGAGCTGCGAGGGCCACAAGAAGAAAGACCAGAGCCTCCTGCAGAGCTACCAGAGCGACAAGCTGAACTGACAGGACCTGGAGCAAAACTTTGTGAACTACCGGCTCAGCTTCGAAGGCCACCCGGGCAGCTACGAGGACCACAACCCGAACTGCGCGATCCGCAGGCAGAACTACGCGAGAGCCTCCTGCTGAGCTACCGAGGCAGTGAGCTGAACTGAACTGCCGACCAGCTGAGCTACAAGCTGCTCTACTCGGGGATGGACAGACCCCCCTTTAGTAAAACATGGTTTAGTGAAAACGACCTGAGGCCCAAACCTGGCGGGCGCAGGCCTGGAAAATAACGGCCACGGCGCCCTCTCGAGAACCGAAGACGGACAATTCACTAATCGACGTGTCACTGTTGGGGGTTCTGTCCACCTCCGATCTACGAGGGCCGCAGCAGAGCTGCGAGACTTGCTAGAACTCCTGCCAAGGCCATCTGCTGTTCTGCACAAGCCGGCAGCAGAGCTAGCAGGGCCACCTCTGCGCCGCGAGCCCGACGCGCGGCGCTACGGGAGCCACCTGCAGGGCTAGGGGGGCCCTCGGCAGAGTCACCAGGGCCAGGCTCTGTACAGTCGGGGCGCTGACCTAAGGAACCCTAAATAAGGAACGAGGCCCCTACTGTCCACAAGTCAAACTTCGATGTCACATCGAAGACCTGAGGAAAACCTAAGGCAAGCTGCGAAACTATCAAGGAGCACGGAGCCCCTCCCCAACTCACAGGGTCCCTTCTGCAGGGCCCCGGCTGTACGAAGCTCACGCGGCAAGCACCACGGACCACGGAAGACCAGGACTATGCCAGAGAGCCGATCGCCATCGGAGGCACACGGGGCAAGCTCGGCAAAACGTACCACGACTGCGTCGTGAGGAAAGCTGGACGAGACTTCGGCCAGTCCGCTGGCTGGGCGGCACTGCTCGCCGGCTCCAGCGCGCGGCACGCCGCAGACCGAAGGAGCTGCAGCGACACGAGCCTGCCAGAGGCTGTCGACGAGCGCCATCCAGCAGAATCTCCTCCGATTCTGCCGACGAGGCGAGGCCGCGAAGGCTACGACGTGCAGCGTTCCGGACAAAGGGGGTGCAACAACGCATCGCTACACTTGAGCAGGGACCGACCGTCCCGGCATTCCTGTAGTCCTACCACGAACTGTTCTTAGAACCCTGAAATGCTCGAAGAACAGAAACAATGCTCTTAGAACAGAAACCGATGTGATAAATAAAGCAAGAGGGACTCCGCCAGGAATGCTCTGATCACATCTCGCGGGAACCACAGAGTGGTCTTAGAACATGGTTTGGTAGGGCTCCTTGCCGTCGCTCGGACGTCCATTTCCCGTGCATGTTTCAGTTTCGTGCGTGTTTTTTTTCTCGATGGCCCAGGATGGTCCTCGATGGTTCTCGCCGAGAAAAAAATGCACACGCCCGAGCGATGCCAAGGCTATAGGCGAGCCAGGACGCTTCGCCACTGCTTAATGCGCAGGAGGTCCCACGTCGGCTCCACCGCCGCGCCGCACCGCCGCACCCGCGGGAGCCCCCCGGCCGCGCCTCCTCGCCCCTCTCCTGCCCCTCCCGGGGCCTCGGACCAGAGGACGGGGCAAGGCGGCCTCCTCGGGGGCGGCCGCTGGCCCTCGCTCGGACGGCCATTCCCTGTTATGTTTTTTTTTTTGGGGGGGGGGGGGTCGTGCGTGGCTTTTTCGCCAAGTGATCAAGGATGCTCCGCGATGGTCCTCGCCGAAAGAAGGCGTGCACACGGCCGAGCGATGCCAGGGCCAAGGGGAGCGGGGCGTCCAAGATGGGGGGGGGAGGGGGCGCGCCTCGTGGCTGGCGGCACGTGCGCGGCCCACAGGGGGGGAAAAAAAAACAGGGACGCAGTACAACACAAGAAGAGGAGCCACTCCTCCTCCTCCTCCTCCTCCTCCTCCTCCTCCTCCTCCTCCTCCTCCTCTCCTCCTCCTCCTCCTCCTCCTCCTCCTCCTCCTCCTCCTCCTCCTCCTCCTTTTCCTTTTCCTTTTCCTCCTCCTCCTCCTCCTCCTTCCCCTCCCCCCTCCTTCTGCCCCCTCCTCCCCACTCGCCCTAGTCATCACCCTCGGGTGCAGGCAAGAGTGGCCCTGGGTGAGAGTGGCCTTTGGTGCGCGGCTTTTTGGGGGCCGCGGAGATACCCGACCTGGGCGCGCAAGCCGCTGCTACCGCCTCGTCTTCAGCCATCTGAAGGCCCAATTGTGCCCGCACCAAAGGTCACTCCTGCGAAAGGTCACTCTTCGGGGATCTTCTGACAAGGGTCAATCCAGACCCGGGTCAGCAGGAAACCAGAAAACCGCAATGCAGGAACACAACACTCTAACGCAGGTATCCGCAAACCCGGGTCAGCCGATAGGCGCGGCCGCCTCGCGGCCACGAGCGCCTCGCTAACCCGGGTCAGCCAGAGGGCTTTTGTCGCAGGATCCTGCAGGATCCGGTGCCCTGGCTGACCCCCGTTTGCGTTGACCCCCGTCTCTTGAGCCCCGAACTCTCATGGCTACTCCAGACTTCGTAATAAAAGGGAGGGGGTCTGGACCCTCCAAGACAAGCCATTTCAGACCTCCCCCGTGGGAGAACCCTCCAAAACATGGTCCCCAGACCCCCCAGGCCCTCCAAGATAGCCTGGAAGAGACCCCCCCCGAAATGAGAACCCCCTCCCTCTATTACGAAATCTGGAGTGGTCGATCGCCCCCCTCTTTGCCGCCCCCGACCTCTGCCGGTCCTCCCTCGCCCCCCTCCTCTCGGGCGCCGGCCCCCCCCCCGGTGGACCGGGAGGCCTGCGCCCCTCTCTCTCCCGCCCGCGGGGGGCCGGAGGCGCGCAGGGGGCGGCGGGCGCAAGGGGCGGGCGCGGCGGCGGCGGGGACGGCCGAGGCCGCCGCGAGGGAGAGGGAGCGAGAGCGAGGCGAGAGGGGGAGGAGGACAGGGGCCGAGGCCGCCGCGAGAGAGAGAGAGAGAGAGAGAGAGCGAGGCGAGAGGGGGGAGAGAGAGAGAGAGCCGCGCGCGGAGGGCCGGGGCCGCCGCGGGGGAGAGGGGGAGAGAGCGGGGCGAGGGGGGGAGGGCAGGGGGGAACCACAGGCTGGGTTTATGTTGCCCCCGATCCTACTCAAGGGCCGCATCCCATAAAAATAATCTCGAGCGCCCAGAAAAGTGTCGAAAGAGTGTCGAAAGAGTGCCGAAACAGCGTTGAAAGAGTGCCGAAAGAGCGTCTCCCAGGGCCCGACACGTGAAAACCCTAGATTGTTGAGGGTGTTTTCCTGGTGCTCGAAATTCATTCTGGTGATCAAGGCTAGAGTAGGTTGGAACATCATAAGGCTGGGTGCGCTTGCGCCGTGTCTGACATCCTATCCTGACCACCGATCCCCTCCCTGCGCCGATTCTGCCCTATATCCGCCGACGGATGCTCAAGCGGACGCGGATCCCCCAAAAAATATTCCAAACGCCAGACGTGGAGGCAGAACGTTTCAGGAACGTTTCAGAAGAAAGAGAGACGTGGAGGCAGAAAGGGCAGCAAGGTACTGTGGAGGAGGTGGTGGATGAGAATGAGGATGAGCAGGAGGAGAAGGAACACGTTGAGGAAGGAGGAGGATCAGCAGCAGAAGCAGGAGGAGCGGGAGGAGCAGGAGGACCCGGGGAAGGAGCAGGGTAAAAGAGGGGACGACAACGACGAGGAGGATACCGAATACAGAAGTATGGCATGCGCAGGGACGAGAGCGCCATTCTAAACGACGGGCGCACAACGCAGATCCTGAAGCGGAACCATCGCTGCAGCCGGAGCACCGTTCTGACAGACTCACAGACGTCCTGAGCGACAACAGCAATATGAAGTGGCACGTTGTGAATTCCTCAGCGCTAGAAGCAAGCACGAATGAGTTGCGGCGCCGCCGACGGAGAGCGTAGCCTGGGAGAGAGGAGAACAGGACTCACATGGAGTTACTGTGGGAGAGGGAGAAGAGAGGCAGGGAGGGCGGAGGGCGCGGGTCTTCTGAAGAGGCTGGGGTAACCAGCCTCGAACGTATTCCTATCCCTAAGATGGGCGAGCAAAAAGCGAGGACAATCTTAGGGATAGGCCTTCAGAAACTGAGGGAATCCTTAAGATCGGCATCGAGGTGAGGTGATGTCAAACATAGGGATAGGGATATGTTTCAAACTGGTAATGGGGCGGCTTCTGAGAAGCCCTCCAACCTTCTGAGAGGCCTTCTGAAAAGCCTCTGGAGGCCCCTTTAAACGCAAAACGCTTTCTGCGAACCCCTCCCGCCTGCTGCTTGCCCCCCCCCCCCCCGCGTCCCGTGGTGACACAAGTCAAGACGGCGTGCTTAAAGCACTTTGCGGCATTCGAGGAGCCCTTACCGGGCCCCATGGGACCGTCAAAAAAACGACTCGGGGATAAAAGCCAGGACTCGCGGAGAAGGTCTGGACCTCACATGCCGAACACATCGCGACGCCTGAGGTCTGGGTAGAAGAGGGGCCCCCTCGCTCTTCCCCCTGGCAGCTCCGCCGAGTGGGAAAGTACGTACATCACTCACTAGTGCGTCTTCCAGGGCGGGAACAGAAACCGATCTGCTCTGCGCCGTCCTAACCTGTCCGAATTCACTGCTTCGGGGTCGCGCCCCAGGACCTCCAGGAGCGGTGGGTATGGATATCCTCCCGGTCGCGGGTCGGTGGTCCAAAGACGGAATCCTGGGGGAGGAGGGGGGAGGAGGAGGAGGAGGAGGAGGAGGAGGAGGGGGAGAGGAGAGGATGAGGAGGAAGGAGGAGGAAGGAGGAGGAGGAGGAGGAGGAGGAGGAGGAGGAGGAGGAGGAGGAGGAGGAGGAGGAGGAGGAAGGGCAGGAGGGGGTCCTGCGGACGAGATGCCGCACACCATGCCTCGGCGACGAGGCGGGGGGGGGGGCAAGCGAGCAGGCGCGGGCCTTCTCGGAAGGCTCGGAAATCCCCCGGCCTTCCGAGATGTGTTCGGCGACTCCGAAGGGTGTGGTTTGCAAAGGGTGTGGTTTGCAACCGGCACCCTGCGAGGCACCCTGGGGGGCGGGAGAGGACCTCGACAGAGCTCTCCGCCGCGCCCCGAGGAGGCCCAACGAGGACAGTGTCGTGCCCCTCAGGCCCCGACGGTGCCGATCGCAAACCACACCCCGGCGTAACCACACCCTTTGTAGTCGCCGAAGTATGCTGAACCTTCCCCGAAGACGCAGAAAACTCCTCAGAAGGCGCGAGGTTCTTCTCTGAGAAGTCCCGCCAACTTCTGAAGCGGCCTTCTCCCTCTCGCTTCCCCCCCCCGCGCTCGCGCACAAGAAGAAGCAGCGGCAGAACCATAAAACTCTTGGCGCTCCGCGCGGATCTCTTGGATCCGCGCTGGACCCCCCGGGGCGGCGCCGGAGGCGCCGCAGGGGGGGAGGGCCCGGCGCGGATGCAAGAAATCTGCGCGGGACACCCGAAGTTTGTGTTCATGGCGTTTTCAGGGAACCGAGCTCTATATACACCGACGCTGTTTCTGGCCCTGCACGGAAATTTGCACAGGAAAGCGGATCCTGGTCTATGCGGGGCCTGGGTGTATACAGGTTTCGTTTGTCCCCAGCAACACGGGGAGAAAAGTACCCACCACACCAGTCATCTCCGACCCTCAAAAAGTCCTGGCATTGAGAAACAGCCCGCCACTGGTAATGTAAATGCTCCAGCTTCCGAGTTCTGTCTTCTTCGATCGTCGCCGAATGCAAGTCCACCCTTGGAACCCTTCCTACAGTCTGAACTCGTCCACAAGAAACCTTCCACAAGGAACCCAACCCAGAGACCCCAGGACGTCCATTGATCTCTTTGGTGTGGGAGCGCCACGCCTTCTATCGCAGAACCATCGAAGCCCAAGAAACCCAGGGCACCCTGGAGGCAAGCAGGGTGTTTCTTGGCATGGGTCTCCGCTGTATCCTCAGGAGCAGGAGGAAGAGGAGGAGGCCGAGGAGGAGGCGGCGGAGGAGGAGGAGCAGGAGGAGGAGGAGGAGGACGAGGGGGGCAGAGGAGGACGAGGAGGAGGAGGAGGAGGAGCAACGAGGGAAGCCCCTCAGGACGCCCTCGTGGAGCCACCGAGCGGGGGGGGCGGGCACGCCCCTCCACACGGCCTCCGAGCCGCCTCGAGGCTCCTCCCTCTGAGGGGGGGGGGGGGGATACGCCGCTCCGCCGCGGCGCTCTGCACTGCTCCGCACCGCGGTGGCCCCTCGGCGGTGGGCCCTCGGTCGCCCCGCGCCTGCGCTCCTCGCCGCGCGAGGATCCCCTCGGCGCTCCCTGGGCGCCCTCTCGGCAGTGCACAAACCTCGGGAGCGGCCAAGAGGGGGGTGTCCAAGAGGGGGGTGTGCAAATCATGACCGGCGGCATGTGCGCGACCCAGCGGGGGGGCCAGGGACGTAATGAAGTAAGAAGAGGCGCCATGAGATCTGGGGAAATATCATGGCCCGCGCCATGATATCCACCCCCCCCTAGTCATCACCCCCCTCTCTTCCGCTCCCGAAAACCTGCCTTTGGCGAACCTCCCCTTAGTGAACACGGCCTATAGGACCGAAGCCGACGGACCTGGACCCGCAGAAAGGACGGCCGCGACGCCCTCTCGCGAGCATAAAAAACGGCCGATTCCTCAATCGACGCGTCAGGGTAGGAGGTCTGTCAACCTCCGACCCTCCCAGAAAAGGGTAAGGTCGGGGGGGGGCGGCTTTGATGGGCCTGATTTCCACCACCACCACCATAAGTTGGAGGGGGAAGGGGTCCTCCTCCTCCTCCTCCTCCTCCTCCTCCTCCTCCTCCTCCTCCTCCTTCCCCCATCCGACTTATGGTAGTGGTGGTGGTCGGAGGTCTGTCAACCTCCGACCCTCCCGGAAAAAAGCAAGGTCGGGGGGGGGGGCGGCTCGGCCCCGAGCCGCCGCCACGACGCGGGAGAGGCGCGAGGCCTGCGCACGCCGCCGGGGGGGCCAAGAGCTCCCTATACAGCGGGAGCAGGAGGCCTGCCGAGGGGGAGGAGGAGGAGGAAGAGGAGGAGGAGGAGGAGGAGGAGGAGGAGGAGGAGGAGGAGGAGGAGGAGGAGGGAGGCGCTGGGAGGAGGAGAGGAGGGGGGGGAGGAGGATGAGCAGGAGAGGAGGAAGAGGAAGAGAAGGAGGAGGACGAGGAGGAGGAGAGGAGGAGGGAGAGGGGAAGGTGGGGGAGGAAGAGGAGGTGAAGGAGGAGCGAGGAGGCGGAGGTGATTGCCCCCGTGCAACTCCATTCTGGGCTTGGACAACAGGCCGTGGATGTCGCCGGTGACGTAGCGATGCCAGGACTCCGGGTCGAAGTCCTTCAGCGTGAGGCCAAGGCCCTGGTGGTGGGAACGGCACAAGGAGGCGGCAGGCAGAACCATACGTCTTGTTCCTGCTCGCACGTTTCTGGTTTGGACCCTCGAAGCAACTCTCGGGCTTTCGCCGATGCTCTGAAAAACCTTTCGTCAGAAGCCCTCTCCTCGTCCGCCTCCTCATCCCTCCTGCCCCCCCTCTCAAGATTCCAGCTGCCTTGCGCCCGCCGACGAGCATCCGAAACAACTTCTTACCGTTCAAGTCCAGCTCCAGGCGCTTTACCGCATCGACGATCTCCTGCTCCTGGATGCGGCCGTCGCCGCTGATATCAATGCACTCCTGCCAGCCCTTCAGCATGTCGCCGTACTTTCTATACAACGCGCGCTTGAACGTCCCGACGTAGTATCCAGTTGTATAGTCGACCTCCATCAACGACACCGCTCCGCTGCCATTCGCATCAAGTTCCTGACATTCTGGAAATGGGAAACTAATCCACTGAGTTGCTCGGGCGTAACATTGAACAGCAGTGTGCGGGCGGGGGCAAGAGAAGAACAATCAAAAAGACAAATTGTTTTGAGGAACATGTAGGTTCCAATCCGGACACGAATCCCAACATCTGGAAATCCGGCCGCCTACCGAAATTGACGGCCAACTTCGGCCAAATCAGTTCACCTTCCGCGGAAACCTCCGCAGTGTGAGCACCTGTTGCGGAGTGGCACAGATTACTCTTGGGTGGTAAACCAACACACAATACACACAACAAAATCAAGAACACCACTATCCTCCCAAAGCTTCTTCAAGTTGCCGTGGTAACCCAGCATGCGTAGCTGCCCGCAGAGCTCGCCGAAGGAGAGATGGCCGTTCCCGTCCTTGTCAAGCACTCGCCAACCGTTGACGAGCGAGCCAAACCTCTTGATCAAGAACGTCTTGAAGCCCTGGACTCCTTTGTCTCCCAAGAACTCCTGGGAGCGGCCACCGGCGACGGCCTGGACCCCTGACGCAAGCTCATCCGATGAGGGAGGGAGGAGAGAGGGGAGCTGGGGGGGCAGGTCATTAGGATGAAGGGCACGGGAGGACAGGGGAAGGGAGACACAGGATGCGGCAGGGCGGGGCATCGATCCCCGCTACAGCTCGGGCTCGGAAGCCTCACACAGACCCGCGCCGTGTCCACACACCCTGACGGGCGAGTCAGCTCGCTCGTCGCTGCCGACGGAAGTCACTCGGACACGCGCGGACACGCTCGGGCGCTCACGGGCACGCCGGGAGGACGAGGGGGCGAGGGAGAGGAGAAGGCAACCATGACACAGTGAGACCGGATCATGCGGGGGCTCTTGGGACTGGGGGGGGGGGGGCGATGTATACACCACGTCGTTTGGTCGGCCAAGGAGCTGGGTGTATAGACGCCCCATCTGCACAACCTGTGGGGCGCTGGAGCGTATACACACCAACATCCTGCGCCGAATCGGCTGCCTCCCCGGCCGAAGAAACGACGTGGTGTATACGTCCAGCCCCTCCGAGGGACGCCCAAATCGAAGCCTTACGGCGTGGGAGGAGGAGGAGGAGGAAAAGAGGGAGGAGGAGGAGGAGAGGGAGGAGGAAGAGGAGGAGGAGGAGGACGCCCAAAATGACTCTCGTCCTTACGGCGCGGCTTGGCGGTGGCGCGAAAAACAGGCGGGTCCCGGAGGGGACGGGTCCTGCAGGGCGTGTGTTCGCCGACCTCGGGGCCCCCCGGGCGGTGATTTTTCTGCTATCCGCCGCCCGTCCTTGTCCGTGTCCAGTCTCACATCCTGCAGGAGAGTCATGCGGCTCTTGGAGATGTCGATTGCGTTCCTGAGGCATGCCCCCTCGCCTCCTGATCCTCCTCGCTTGCTTCCTGCCCCCCATTCACCCTCTCCTCCCTCCTTCCCCTCCCTCCTGCCATTCCTGCCCCTCTCGTCTTCCTCTCCGTTTCCAGGTTCCCTCATCCTCCCATCTCCTCCTCCCCACTCATCCATCCCTCCTTTCCCCTCATCTTCCTCCTGGACGCACGTCCTGAGCCCTTTGGCTGTAACTTTCTCTCCGTTCTTCAGGGCGTGCTTGTCGAGGAACTGGCGCTCGATGAATGCCTCCGCGGCCAGCTTCGCCGCGCGAGGTGGAGGGACGGAGGGCGGATGAGGCAGAGGGGAAGGAGGGCGCATGAAAGGGGGAGGAGGGAGGCTAGAGGGAAGAAGGGGGGGCGGCAAGGGAAGAGGCAGGGGGCGGGAACGAGGCGGAAGCAGGACTGTGGACGAAAGGACTTCAGTGCTTTAGGAGATTGAGGCGGCAAGCGAATGTGACGAGGACGAGGAGGGAGGATGAGTGCAAAGGGTCGCAGAAATCCGCCGACCCTGTCGGCGTGTGTGAGGGGCTTCTCCGTTCGACTCGTCGTCTCCGTCGTCTCCGTTCTCCCCCTCCCAGGGCTCTCCTCCTCAAGCGCGCTACCCAAAGCGAAATTAAACGACGTCCTAGTGGAGTCGAAGGGAAGCCCCTTCCCTTTGATCCCTTCCCCGCAGGGGGGTGGGGGGGGAGGGGGGGGGGGTCCCGGGGCAAATACGACGCCCGCCGGGGCGCACTTTCCTCGAGCGGGCACGCACGGGATGCACTTCCTCCTCCTCCTGGTCCTCCTCCTCCTCCTTTTCCTCCTCCTCCTCCTCCTCCTCCTGCTCCTCTCCTCCTTCTCCTCCTCCTCCTCCTCCTCCTCCTCCTCCTCCTCCTCCTCCTCCTCCTCCTCCCGCAGAGGCGTCCCGGGAGCGGGCCCCGAGTCAAACTACCACCCCCCTAGGGCGCATTTTCCTCGAGCGGGCACGCCCGAGATGCACTTCTTCCTCTTCCGGGAGCACGTCCCAAGTCAGAATATCACACTCCCGGGGCGCACTTTCTTCGAACGGGCACACAAAGGATGCACTTCCTCCTCCTCCTCCTCCTCCTCCTCCCCTCCTACGCTTCTCCTCCGCCGCTCCTCCTCCTCCCTGCTCATCCTGCTCCTCCTGCTCCTCCTCCTTCTCCTCCTCCTCCTCCTCCTTCTCCTCCTCCTCCTCCTCCTCCTCCTCCGTTTCCTCCCCCTACTCCTAGCCCTTTCGATCAGGGTCGGCGGCACCGGCCGTCAGGCCTCTCCAATAAATACACACAAATGACAGGATTCCCAATCTTTTCTAATATTTTTTGGATTCTTGTCTTCCCCCCACTTCCCATATCTTCCCATATGTTCTGGGGAATCGTCGATGAATTCTGTCTGTCTGTGTGTGTGCTGTTTTCCCTCCTGGGTATCGAGGACAGGCGCCCGGCGGCGGGGCCGAAAAGCCGGCTACTCGCAGCAGATCCGTGCCTCGCGTACGCCCACCCTTTTTCCCCAATTAGGCCCCCTTTTTCCCCAATTCGGCCCCCTTTTTCCCGCTTTTCCTAATCCGACCCGACGCAGGAGGGGGAGAAGGAGCGGGGAAGAGGAGGAGGAGGAGGAGGAGGAGGAGGAGGGTATTAGGATGAGGAGGAGGAGGAGGAGGAGGAGGACGGCGACGACTGCCTCCCATCAACACTCGCTCAAGACCAACCCCTGGACCCTGGACCCCCTCCCAGAGCCCGTGCTGGCGAGCCTTCTTCCAGAGTTCATCCTTCCGATCCCTTGAGGAGGCGCTGAGCCTGAAGCGACTAGGAGGAGAGGAGGAGGAGGAGGAGGAGAAAGAGGAGGAGGAAGGAGGAGGAGGAGGGAGGAGAGGGGAGGAGGATGAGGAGGAGGAGGAGGAGGAGGAGGAGGGGGAGGAGCAGGAGGAGGAGGAGGAGGAGGAGGAGGAGGAGGAGGAGGAGGAGAGACCACCCCCCAGGCCGCGACGAGAGCCTCCCGAAAAACGCCTCCGGCAGAAGCCTCCGAAGCCAAGGACCAACACGCCGACGAAGGACGGCGTGCGACGCCTCGTCGCGCCGCCCTCTCGCCGCTCCCGCCAGCCTGACCCAGAAATCCGACGTCTCGATTTTTTTCGAGACGCGGGCCCCCGACCTCCCGACCACTTCCCTGGGACCGGTTTTTCATCCCGAGTCGTTTTTTGACGGTCCCGAGGCCCGGCGAGGGCCCCGAAAGGCCAAAAACTATGAAAAGCCTCTTTCTCGATTGTTTCGAGACGCCCGATGTCTGGGGACTCTGCCAACAGGCCGGCGACGCCGGCACGCCGGCGACGCCCGGCGACGACGCCGACCGACCCCACGGGGCCTCCGTGAAGTACACCCTCCGCACGGCGGCGGCGAGCTCGGGCCGCGCCGAGGCGCCCTCCGCGTGCAGGGCCTCCGGCGCCGGCGGCGGCGGCGGCGAGGGCCGAGGGGATGGCGATGCCTCGAGCATCCTCCTCCTCCTCCTCCTCCTCCTCCTCCTCCTCCTCCTCGCTCCTCCTCCTCCTCCTCCTCCTCCTCCTCCTCCTCCTCCTCCTCTCCTCGTCCTCCTCCTCCTCCTCCTCCTCCTCCTCCTCCTCCTCCTCCTCCTCCCCCTCCTCCTCCTCCCTCCTCCTTCCCCTCCGAAGTTTCTGGCAGGATAGTTGCATGCACTGTTCAGCATAGGCGGGAGAGAAAAAAGTTTGCAGCATGGCTTCCCCGCCTCCGCAGCCATTTGCCGCAGAGGCTCCCAAGCGGTGTGGTGATCTCACCGCACGGTGAGTCAAGGGGGATTCGGGGCCACCGCACGGTTTTGGGACTCGGGTCGCTCTCCGAGGACGATTCGGACGACTGGGGCCTCCGAGGTCACAAGACCGTGCGGTGACGGACCGCGCGGTGATGTCTCTTGGGATTTCGAGGTCACCACGCGGTCCGTCACCACACGCTTCGGGACCCCCCGCGATGAGCTTGGAAGCTGCACCGGCGGTGGCATGGACGGAGCTCCGACAATAACACAGGGCTAGGATCGGGATAAATCGCTCCAGAGCGTTCTGGAGCGCTCTCAGAGCGTTCCGGAACGCTCTGGAGCGGCCGCAGCGCCCAATACATCCTCCAAACCCGCCGATTCTCAGAGATTTCGAGTTATCCCGATCCGATTTTGACCCGATCTTCGCATCGTTTTAGACAAGGGAGGGGAAGGGATTACTAGGATCACCGCCGAGACAACCGTCTGAAAGATGACGGGCACAAGCAAAGCGGGGGAGGCTCGGTTGCGCGGCCGAAATCGTTCACACAAAAATCGGAGGCCTAGAGATTGACACCAACACAAAGATCGGCGGTGTGCCTCCACCGAGGGAAGACGATCCCGATCTCGGTGATGGGGGTAATATTCTGGCCTCCAAGGTGACCGAAATATTGCCACCAGCACCGAAATCTAGGATCATCTTTCCCATGTGGAGGCAGCCCCCTGTGTTGGTGTTGGTGCCCATTTCTAGGAATGCAGAAAAAATGGGAGCGGTCAGGGCACCATGACAGCAACACCAAGTGTGCACCTCCGTGCGGTCAGAAAGCAACGCAGGCTGAACTTTCACCCTATTTAAGCAAACCCGAAGGCCGCGAAGCGCGAACCATTCCCTCCGCACAGCCGCAGCTCAGCTAGCGGCCCCCCCCCCCAAAGTTGCCGACCCAAACCTCCGCCTCAATGAGGTCGGGATCCTGGAACACTCACGACGACCAGGCGGGCCAAAGGGCCCGTGCAGACACGGTGCCAGAGCCCCCCCCCCGCCAGTCCCCTTGCCGAGAGGACGACGGCCAACGTCAAGTGGCAGGACGGGGCACCGGCCCGGGAGGAGGGATGCGGGGACGAGGGCGACGAAAAAAGAAAAAGAAAAAAAAAAAAAAAAAAAAAAAAAAAAAAAAAAAAAAAAAAAAAAAAAACGAAAAAAAAATCTTCAAGAAAGACACGGCTGGTCGCCGCGGAGCTGAACTCGCTTCGAAACTCTCGCCAGCGCGCTCCAGACGGGGCCACGAGGCCTTCGATTGCCACGAGGCCGAGTTCGAGGGGGGAGGAGGAGGAGGAGGAGGGAGGAAGTAGGAGGAGGAAGGAGGAGGAGAGGAGGAGGAGAGGAGGAGGAAGGAGGAGGAGGAGGAGGAGGAGGACGACGAGGGCGACGAGGCTTCAGAAAGACAAGCTCCGAGATCCGAGCTGCAGGGGGGGAGGGGGAGAGTAGGGGCCCGAGAGGGGGCACGAGGCAACGAGCGGGCACGAGGGAGCGGCTCAGGGCGGCCCGAGCAAACTACCAGCCGTTGGTCGAAACGTTCTCCGCTCTTCTCTCTGTGTCTCTCTCTCTCTCTCTGCAGCTGGACTGCTTGCAATCCTGGCTCGTAGCGACTTGCGACGTCCTGTTTTTCTTGCTTCGTGTTTCTCTCTCTCTCTCTCTCTCTCGTTTTCTTCCTCTCTCTCTCTATACAGCTGGACTGCTTGCAATCCTGGCTCGTAGCGACTTGTAACGTCCTGGTTTCAGAGGCCCTGAACGGTCCTCGCTTGCGCCGTGTCATGTGTCCTCCTGCGCGGGGGGCAGCGAGCGACTCTTGAGGGGGCAGGTCTGTGGCGAAGGGTGGTGTTCGGGAAGAGTGGTGCGGGGCAAGCGCCGAAGGCCCTCGGGGCGAAGCAGGCGGATATGAGCTGAGCAAGCACAGCGGCAAAAACTGCCTTGGTGAAGTACTCCCGAAATCCTTTCCACAGCTCTTGATGACGGCACCAGTAGGTCTCACCCCCCGCTCCCCCCTAGAGGTCTCCGGGGGTCTCTGGAGGCCTACCGACTGCCAGGCACGTTTCAGAAACGTCGCTGCTCGATCCACCTTCTCATCATCCTTCCTCACTCGGGCGCCGGCAATGGCGCGATACATATTTCACCGAGCCGTCGCGACAGCAAGCGGCGCTTGAACGGTACCAGCTCGGGCTGCACGCCGTGTCGACGACAAGCAGGGCGAGCGACACTTGTCAGCAGCACCGCTTGGTCGGCAATTGCCAGCAGCATCCCTCGGTTGACATCGCCTCACTCGGGCGCCCGCCAACATGGATCGGGGATGGACAGACCTCCCCTTAGCAAAACGTGGCTTAGTGAACACGACTTCGGGCCCAAACCTGGCGGGCGCATGCCTGGAAAATAACGGCCGCGGCGCCCTCTCGAGAACCGAGAACGGACAAATCACTGATCGACGTGTCAGGGTA